TGAGGGGATCCAGATGGTGTTTTTAAAATGCATTTAGGGTTTGGTGTGATCTGTAGTTGTGTGTTGTTCCAGGATGTGTTGGCTGATGATGGCTGTATGACTGAGTGTTGTTTCTTGTCTTGAGAGTATACTTTAAGTCTCAAGTGGCAAAAAACATTTTCAAGTCCCCATTGAATTGTATATTTTGTGTGGGGCAAAAGAATAAGCCTTGGTAAAAATGGACTCTTCTCCTTAGCAACTGTATAAGTTCACAGTATTGTGGGGGATCTGTGGAGCGCTCCCATTATGGTGAGTGGGTGCTTGTAGAAGCGTGGACAGTTTCATTTCTTCTTAAAAGAGGTGAGCTAGTGTAGATTTATTGTCTTGGCAAAGTCCTGATGCTGTTGAAGTTCCAGAGTAGCAATGGCATTTATGATTAACTTTTGCTTGTTGTAAAGGATGCTGATTAGATAGTGTTATGAGTTTCTCTGAGAGAGTATTGCAAAATATTTGGCTGTAGACTGTAGAAGGTTCTTCACTTTCAGTCTTTTAGGAATGATGTCATATTGTTTGCGGTAAGTTAGAAAGATAACATCTGTATCTGTGCCAATTTCCTGGTAGGCTTTATGGGTTTCCACCCCATATGGCTGAAGTTGGTGCTTCTCATTGTAGACATTGTAGGAGGAGAGCCATGTACATCTGTCATAGCCAGATGATAGCAGAGTTTTGGTAGCAAAATTAAGAAATTTTATTAAAGGGCATAAGCCTTTGAGAACTACAAGGAACAGCATCATTACAGGCCCCAACAGCTTCACACATAAGACTTGAGGTGCCTTTACATGCTCTTTCTCTAATGTGATGTATGCCATCATCTGCCAGCAGTGCCTCTCTGAATTCTATGAAGGACAAGCAGGCCAGCATTTGCACAAAAGAATTAATGAACTCATTTGTCACAGGACTCAAAACAAGGACAAAATATCAGACCATTTTGAAAAGCTGGGAAGAAAATGGCCTCTCACACCTTCTAAAGAAGAGTAATTCAGTGCAGTCCAAACTGTTACCTCTTGACAGATAAGCAGGAAAAAAGGGTATAAAGATAGTGTACAAAATAGATTTACCAGTTCTGAAGAAGATCTGCAGTAATGGATCAGAGCAAACTAAACAAATGTTTGCTCAGCACTGGAGAGATGTCAGTGCAATCTTGGGTAAGACATCCTGGAGGCAAGACAGAGAAGAGGCTTCTCTTCCCAATTGTTTCTCTACATTTATCATTTTAGGGGAAAATGTGGTTCATAATGATGCAGGACTTAAGGCCCCCTCCCTCTGTGTATCTCATCCTACCTTCAGTAGAAAGAGATTCTCGTTTTAAAACATTTTAAAACACACAGTTATTTCAAGACCTGCCATGCAAGTCAGAGTCTTGCATGTCAAAACAATAAGAGTTTTTAAAAAGATCTACCCAGTTTTTAAAACTTAAAAAAAGAAAAGAAAAAAGAAAATTCCACGAGGAGAGGAAGTGAGGAGCCAGGGCTTCTGAAGACTGTTCAACCATTGAGAAGGGACACTCCACCCCCTACCCCTGAACCAACATGTACAGCACTGCAGTGTAGGTGCCAAGATCAGGAACAGTTGGAAGGGAGCTGTCCCAAAGCAGACTTGCTGGATCAATTACAGGTAGTCCTTGTTTAGCGGCTCCCTCATTTAGTGACCGTTCACAGTTAAGATGGTGATGAAAAAGTAACTTTGTGACCAGTCCTCACATTTATGACCTTTACAGGTCTATAAAGCAAAGGAAAGCTGAAGTAAGATCACAAGCACAGTCACAGTTTCACTTAGCGACTGCTTCACTTAACCGAGTTGCTGGTCCCAATTGTGGTCGCCATATGAGGACTATCTGTATAGCTAAGCAGATTGCTACTCCAGACCACATCATCTCAAGTCCCCTTCTCTGCATGCCATAGATTGTCTACATGGAGAGCCTTGTGCTGACATAAGAGGAAAAACTCCTTTTGTGCAAAAACTTCTAAAAACAGGCTTGGGCTGCCTCAGCAGTGGGCTGCTGATGAGATAGAAGCTGCATTATGAGGGCACGTTCACATTGCAACAATCTGGAAGTATAGATGAGCCCCAAGACAAGGATATGTAATTTTTGTTGTTGCTTAGTGTATTTATACATATGGGTTTAGGGAATGCTTGTAGTCAGTTGGCCGGGAGTGTGAATGTTTGGGTACTTTTGTATCTGGATGATGCTGTGTTGTTGCCTAAAAACTCTAGTGATTTGCAGCAAATGTTAGACTTTGTGATGCAATGAGGCGAATGGATCTGAAACTTAATATATTGAAGACCAAGGTAATTGTGTTTGATGGAGAAAATAAAATAGATTATTACAAATAAAATATATATGGCAGAAAATTACAGCAAGTAGATGATTTGTCTGCAGTGAAATCTTGATTTTTCATAGCCATTTTAGCAGACTTTGAATGCAACACACCAATTTTCCATTAGGGCATCCCCCCCCAGAGGTGATGTCAAAAGTAGTTGGTACAAGGCAGTTTAATTTGTTCAAACTTACCTTAATTATACAACATTTACAGTGATTTATGTAATTTGTGTAACGGTAGAGAATAATGCAATTGCACAAAATGCATACATTAACACTATGGTGTACTTTCATATTTAATACATAATGGACACCTTCTCCCCTTAAATGCTCTCTTGAAACAAGATATCACTGTATCTTGGAAGTATATTTAGTAAAGATGGGAAAACGGAGAAATTTTAAGATCTACACGTGCTAATAGAAAGGTAGTGGGTAGAATGAAGACTGTTGCATGGAATTAATGCTTGTGAAAGAAGCAAAAATGGTTGTGTATAAGAGTGTGTTTCTGCCCATTTTGTTATGTGGAAATGAGCATTGGGTACATCAAGAGAAACAAAATTAACTTGAATCCACTGGGAAAGAGTTACTTAAGGAATGTGAGTGGTAAAATAAGAAGAGATAGGGTCAAGAAGGAATGGGTGCTGAATACAAAATAGTGATCATTGTGAAAGAAATAAGTTGAGATAGTTCATCAGCCTTCCCGGCGTACTGTTTCTCATAAAACAGGTTTTGGAATCAAATCAATCTATTCCAGATTGAAAATCACAGCAAAATGTACTTTTGGAATAAGCAGATCTTTTAAAAAAAACAGTCTCTGCCTTTTAAAATTCATTTGTTCAAAACCAATATGTTTCAGATCCCCTGCTGAGGAATGAGGATGAGTGACTCATACATAGACAGAGCAGCTGGGATGAATTAAGAGTATTACAGGAAATCAATAGGAAGTTATTGAAATGAGCCATCAAGTTAAATTGAATTCATTGAATTTCCTAAAGAAACAGTTACAACTGTGTTTTACTGCATGTCATGAATCTGGGGGAGGATTATACTGAGGCATGGATTATACTTGGGAAAATGTATGCTGATTGGTTATGTTTTCAATAATTGGTAGTGACACAGGAAGTGTTGGCTTCTCTGAAAGGATCTGAGAAGTTCCTGCTTGGCTTGGAAAGGCTTGGATGGATACCAGAGTTCCACAATTGAGCTGCACACTGAATTCCAGAAACCAAAAAAACCCCTTACCACCCACATTTATTTCAAAGCAGTTTATTATATTGCCATCCTGCTCTGCATTTTTTAATCTCTCCAGAATGGCATGCAATGAAAGGGAACATGATCTCTTGGATTTTTATCTGAGTCTTGCCTGCTAAAAGCCACATAACATTTTTCCAGGAAAAATACATTTTAATCACATACAGTTGGAAAAGCTGCATGCTGCAAGGAAGGGCAAAAGTTAATTTCCTAATGCAGACAGCCTGTATGCAGGCACACAGGCACACAGTTCTCATATTCTCTTCCTTTTGAAAACAAGGTATACAGTATAGCCTTTTTTAAAAAACAGATTTTTTAGCAGTGGCAACACATAATATTTTCATGTTCAGTCATTATGACAAATGCTGAGTCATAATGACTTACCTGAACATGAGGTGGAAACCCAGCTATTATGGTTTGGTGTTGCGTGAAGTAGGCTACTATGGCTTATTCAGCAAATTAGAGTTAACAATCTTTGCTTGCACAATATGTGACTTCAGTCAGTATTGTTTTTGAATTGGAAGGACAGATTCCATCCTCTGCTAAAAAACTTGTAGGGCTGTTTATATTCATACGCTTTAGGCCCTCAAAATAGAATTCTGCAGCCTGTGAAACTGTGTACATCAATCAAATTTACACATAATCTGCATTATCAATCTGATTTAGTCCTGCTAATCAGGAGGAAAGGTAGAAAGTTTTGCAGGGCACTATTGTCTGCCCACTGTATACACAATACAGATTTTTTTTGAATCTCAGAGTTTAAGGATTGCTCCATTTTCTTTAGGTTCATCTTGTTAGCCCTAGGAGCTAGGATCTTATTTGAAAAAGAAAAAAATAGCTGAGATTCTCAACCTGTTCTTTGCTCAGTGTTTGTTCAGTTCTGATAATGCATATGGAATGATTGGCATGTATGCATTTTAACCTTTTTACTTTGTATTTGGAAATGAAGATTTTAAACCCCCTCTCAGCTTAATCCCAGCTTTCAAAAATGAACCCATAACAAGGTATTCAAGTGCAGCCCCTTAGAAGGCATAGGTCAGAGCCATATGGTGCATTGGCATCTCACCCCTTTGTTCCCCTGCCAGTGTCGTGTTAGACAACTGAGCCGATCTGTTCTGTTTTGTGATTTGGTGACAAAAGCTGGAGATCTGTGAGGCTTGGAGTGCGCATCTTTCCTGTTGGCAGGAAGGCCCACCAATGCCTATTTCCAGATTCAGCCCAGTTTCTGCAGTTATGGTGACTTTGGAGTTCCATAGTGTCTTTGCCCTGGACTTCAGACATTTTGCAGCTAGACAGTTTCTCTTCTCTTCTCATGTGAACTAATGCAGGAAGCCAAGGACACTGGAATGGGAGGGGGGGGCAGGTTGAAGGGGTCAGTTTCTGTGTTTGCTTATTAGTTGGCTGGAAGGAGCTGAGGTTGGTGGTGGCATGTTCTCAACAGCTGTGTTGAGTAATTGATCACAGATCATTGTGCGGAATTGGAGAGTTTTTGGAGGTCACAACTGTGATCAAAGCAACCAGGTATATCTCATTTGCCAATCAGATGAAAATCCTATTCAGAGGAACAGGTCCCTGTTTTCTCTTGAGCTTCATGATAATGCCCTTTCTTCTTCCTCCTCTCAGTATGCACAGGGACAGATATGAAACTGCAGCAACCCTCCAGTCCAGAAAACCATCCAGATACACTCCGTTGGCTCTATGAGAACTGTCAAGTCGTGCAGGGCAATCTGGAGATCACATACCTACCAGCAGATGTGGATACATCCTTTCTCAAAGTAGGTATAGTGCGAGAAATGATTGTGTTTTCAGAATGTCTTTGCTTTATCGGCTTGGGAATGGTGAAAGGAAGAAACAGGACCGCATGCTTCCAGCTTGGCTGTCTCTGCCTTTAGAATTTAGAAAGGTGACATTGATGGCTGGAAGTTGCAAAAACTTTGCCCAAATTTTCACTGAAGTAGTAAAGTGTTGCTAAAATGAATTGAGTTTTGCATATTATTTCTCCCCAATACGGCTTTAGTAGCTTTGGGTCTCATGATTTACCTGCATGTGCGCAGGATAGCAAGATGTTGTATTTGGATCCCAGGAATCTGAATTTGATGGCTTATACTGGGTTCACACTTCATACTAAAGTAGTCCATAGGCTGGTCTAGTCTCTGTGATGTGCTAAGCCATAATGAAATTTGTTTTGTTTAGGCAAATCATTTTTAAACAAAACACACCTTAGCATAATATGTGAAGCTAGTCTTTGTGTCAAACTCTAAATCCCAATTTACAGACCAGAAAGGTTGGCTTCATGCAACACCTAAAAGCTTAGAATAGAAAGAGTATGTAGAAACAATGACATAGACATGTGTAGGTAGAAGTAATGATATGTATTGAATGAAACATGTAAACATGGATCATCTACCGCTTTTCCACTATATGCTCTAATATTGAGTGCTGTCAGGCCCAGCCCAAGAACGACAATGAGGTAGTCCAGTCCAGTATAGTTCCTTTATTAGCTTGCACCTAATAGAATCTCGCCAGACTAAACCTATGCTAAAGCAACTAGTGGCTATACCCCATGAGACTTTAGGGAGGAGCCAGTCTCAGCACCTTCTCACGGTCCTGCCATGGGCTGAGGAAGCGCTTGCTCAGGAATGCTCCCCCTCCCTCCTGATAACCTTGATCCTCCATTCCAGTATCCTCCTCGCACATGCCTTCCATTACAGTGCATATATTATACTAAGTCATTATTTATTTTAACCATAGTTTTATCAGTAAGCCACAGTTTTATCAATACGTCTGATTCACTCATAACCCACAGTTTGCAAACCACAACGGCTAGGTTTGGGTAATGTTGAGCCCTCCCCCAAAATATAGTAACTGCAGACATCTCTTTTCCATGTGTGCAGCATGCTGTGGTTTGGCTCAGGGAAGATTTGGGTCTGTTGGGACAGAGAATCTGTGGCCTTCCAGCTGTTGCGCTTCAGTTTTCATCTGACCAAGCCAGCACAGCAGTATGCAAGGAGGGTAGATGTTGTAGCCCAACTGCTCTGGAGGACCATGTTCTTGCCTAGGTGGTCTTTTGCAAATCTAAGCATCATGAAACATTTCTTGTTTCATTTCTTTCTCTGTTTCTCAGGATATCAGAGAGGTCCAGGGATATGTGTTAATAGCCAAGAATCATGTGCGCCGTTTGCACCTGAATAGCCTCTTGATCATTCGTGGGACCCAACTCTATGAGGAGAAGTATGCACTGGCTGTCTTAGACAATGCTGATCCCAGCGGAGATGTGGGGCTGCAGGAGCTGGGCATGTTGAAACTAACAGGTATGGTAAGACGGACTGGATAGTTTCTCAGAAAGAAGGCAGCAGGTGTGCAGGAGGCAATGTTGAAAGCTACGCAGTCTGGGTTGGATCCAGACAAAATTATTTGCACTTAAAACAAAAAGGCAGGAATCACTCTTTGTGGATTGCTTAGCAGGATGTGTGAACTGGAATCTTTTATGGGTTCTAACAAACCAAAGATTCCAGTTCACATATAATGCTAAATAAGCCACAATTTGTGTAAATATTCCTATTGTTAGGAGAAGCCAGCAGTGATTACTATTGGTTTGTTAGCTGGCCGTAGAGTGCACTGCAATATTTATTTACTAAATATCTTACGAAGCTGCCACTATTAAAAAAGAATCTTGGCAGGTTACATAGAACAATTACAAATTAAAAACATTTATTATAAGAATAAAACATTAGAAAAATAAGAACTATACAATGCAAACTACCAATAAAATAAATAAAAATAGAGGTGACAATATTTGCACCAAGCAGAAACTCCCAGAAAGAGTTCAGTCTTCAAGAGTTTCCAGAAGACCAGCAAGGAGGGAGCCACTCTGATCTCCATGGAGAAGGCTGTTCCCCGATATCACCACTGCTATACAAAAGCAGTGCTGCCTTGCCTCTGTCCCACCCACCCACCCACCCACCCACACGTTCAGAGTTTTCTGCAGTTTCTCCCTGGTAGATATAATTGGTCAGGCCAATACTGATTGGACTAGGCATTCCTGTAGTTCAGCTTGACTTGTTTGGGGTGGTTTTCTTCCTGGCTTGCTAAATCAATACCTGAAAACAGTGTAGCTCAGGAGAGACAAAACAGTAATGAAGGTCTGAAGGCTATGTGTGAATTTAAATAGTAGGATGAGAGAATAAGGAACATCAGCATGACAACATGAAGGGACACTTTATTGTGTTTGGTGGACGTGTAAAAAATAATTTTGGATACAAATACGTGCACTAATTCAGAAAATTTTAAAGAAGTGCTATCTCTGACACCTTGAGCTTCTAAAGGAAAGGAGAGATTGAATGTAACAAAACGTGGAGGTAGGAGAGATTTTATCACTTGAAAGTACATATGGTAAGGAATCATATTATTTCTGGAGACATGTTTGGCTATGTTAGCTTTTTGTTTTTTATTTGCATGGAATTTTTAAAATGCAAAATGGCATGGTCCATTTGAGCATCTGTATCTGAATGTAGATCTCCTGCATACTTCCGAATGAAATATCTGCACAGCCTTAGGACCAGCTCCAGCTCTGTAAAAACACCCTAGTGTTTCTGTTTGACAGCTGAAACCATTTATATTTGGCTCAGCTCTAAAAAAAATCACACTAAAGGTGATATTTCAAGTTAAAACTCTGAAGTTCTGTAGTGAGGTCATTTTCCCATTCGTGGAAATAAGAGGTGTGCAAATCATCTCAAATTTGTAGAGTTACCCAGATCAAATGCCGAAACTGACCTCAGAACAGACTTGCAGGGTCTGTTTTGAATTCAGAATGCTTCTAGAGTTGCTGGAACACTGGTTTAAGCTCCTAATGGTGTGCTTAGAATTTGAAATTGTGTGAATTTGAAAAGTTTTGCTCACTGCGAGGTGGGAAGACTTGCCTCACCTACTTCTTGGTGCCCAAGCTCATACCAACAAGCTTTATCAGCTCCCCCACTCCAAAGTATCTGTTCCATGGTTCCGTTTACCATCAATCCAGTGTGCAGGGTATGAACAAAAATTTTGCTGGCAGTACATGTATAGTAACCTAACAGATTGATGGTCTGATCCTATATCCACCACACAGACATAGCTCCCCTGATTTCAGAAACTTAGGCATCGGATTTCAACGTGAACTATAAGGTACAATGTTTCTTGTTTGAATCTTGCTTGTGTCCTGAACTTACATGTTGACCATAGGCCTACCTTCCTCAGCATAGATGTGTTGGGATCACAACTCACCAAACTCCTAGCTAGCAGTTACCTCTGCCTCGCTTTCCAACCTGCAGAAGTAACTTTAGGAGTGCTGTACAAAACTCTCTCTATACTGTTATATACATACAGCTTACTTCAGCTCAGTTGTGGCAATAGGTTGAACTTTTCAGTAGACTGAATATGTGGTTTTAAAAAAATGAACAAACGCAGACTGTTAACTCATTTCTCTTTGCTGTCTCTTCCTTTCCCCCTGTTTGCTTTCAGAGATCTTAAAAGGTAGCATAATTATAGACAGGAACCCTCAGCTTTGCTTTCAGGAGACCATCCATTGGGAAGCTATCTTCCATAAATATAACTGGCAAAACTATACGGAGATCAGCAGCCATCGCCGTAGGAACTGTAAGCATAATTGACTAGGCCCTGGGCTTCACGGGGAATTCTGTGTGGAAATAAATCTTTGTTTTTAATGATGCGTGAGTGCAGGAAGCATATTATAGAATTATTTCATATCTACTTGTTTCTTCTGAGTAAAGTTCAAAATTCTGGCTTTTCATCAGTGCTATCCTACTCTCTGGTAAAAATAAGTCTTGCCCTATGATAAAATGAATTCCACAGCTTACATTAATAATACAAATGGGCTTATGTTTGCTCTTATGTATGTGGAGCTACTTCTGAAGTTCCTGGGTATCATATTTCTACTTCTAGTTTTTGTGATTTCTGCATGTAGCATACCCATAACGACTGGAACAACAAACCAAACTAGCATTTGTAATCCTGCATTTTATCACTGGATTATTCTTTTCTCATTTATGCTTCCCTGTAGGTCCTTCTATAATTTGTGGGGTTGGGTGAGTAAGCCATATCCTTTTATTACCAACTTACACGTAGCCCTTGGCTTATGGCACCAGTTGCAACTGAAATTGCTGTCTCTAAGCAGTGTGGTCATAAAGCGTGACATCACATGACCACGTCACTTAGCAATGGCAATTCTGGCAGTCCCAGTTGCCATCATTAAGCGAGGATTGCGTGGGTCGTTAAGCAAGGACCTCACATGACTGCAACTTCTGACTTTTTGCTGGCTTCCCCATTGAATTTTGTTTGTGGGAAGCCAGCAGGGAACGTCAGAAATCACAATCACATGACTGCAGGGATGCTGCAACAGCTGGAACTATGAGGATCCATTGTAAGTACCATTCGTTCAGTGCCATCGTAACTTTGAATGGTTGCCGAACAAATGGTTGTAACCCAAGGATTACCTGTATTTCCATCTCATTCCTACGTGTCCATTGTTCAGCTATTCAGGATGTCTGAATGAAAACCAACTCCACCATCAGCATTCTAGGAATTCCTCACTTCTGACCTGGCTGATGTCATTGTATCCTAATAAGCCAGTGTGCACCATCTGGACTTTTAGCTATCAGAGGATTGTCTGGATTCTGTGCCCAAATTGTTGAAATTCACATGATGAAAAGCCAAGTTCTGCATTCTGTGCTATTAAGCAAATTTGAGACTATTACATATTTTCTCTTAGTTTTGTATAATGCCTTCTGCAATATTTTGTGTTTTGTTGATATATTTTGGTTTATCACAAAGGAACACTAAAGCTCTGCTCTTCTCCATTGACAATCATGTTCAGCTGTCTCTGTGTCATTCGAGTCTTCCGCAGGTGTGTCTTACACAGTACCATGCTTGCCATTACAAACGTAAGGGCTAGAAACTTAGTTTAAAAAATGAAAGCGGATATTCTTAGCAAGCTGAATTCTGTATTCAGTACTACTGTATTCTGTGTTCTGGCAAAATTACAACATACACCAAGTCTTTGCCAACTTCATTCTTGCAGTCTCTCCAGCTGAGCATATCTGGTGTCTTACAATTGTTACTGCATGTTTCTTCCTCCTAGATGTAAGATTTTAAAAGTGTGTTTTCTTTCCCACTAGGCCTTGACTGCAGCCAAATCTGCCCGCATAATAACCACTGCTGGGGAGAAGCAAAAGGGAGCTGTCAAATATGTAAGAAGGAACATTACTGCTTGGGATCTGAGGGGAAAAAAGCAAATTTATGCAAGATCTCTAACATATGCAAGGAGATGGCTGGACAATCTGTTTCAAAACTCCAGGGTCCCAGGGCTAAAAAATACTGAGCTTCAGATCCGTTACTGATCTGATCTTAGAGCTGTAAGGGGCCATTTAGGCCATCTGGGTCTACGCCAAAGCAAGACCAATGGCAATCTAGCCTGGAATGGATTCAGTCCAGTGCAGGAAAACCACTATCTCCCTGGGTAATTGGCTCCACTGTCAAGCTACTCTTATTATTAGGAAGGTTTTTCTAAGATGCACATGAAATCTGCCTTCTTGTAATTTAAATCCTTTATTCTGTGTGATATCCCTTCAGATAACTAAAGCATGCTATCATATTCCCCTCTTTTCTGCCATCCTTTCTTTTCAAGTTGAAACATTCTCATTGCCCTTCTCAGAACCTGTTCCCCACTCAGCAAGGGAATTTGGAAGTTATAACCCCAAGACAATGGGAGAAAGTTGCTTTAGAGGGCAGAAGGCTTCCATTATTTTTTTCTGAGAGCTTTGCTTCTGCTTAGTGGTGTCCTGGCTGCCTGGAATTTCAGCTTTTTCTGTTCTCTTGACTATTCTTCCTCTGGGCAAAGCTTCCTGGCCTGTTCTGGTTGTCCCTGATTGTCCCCAACAACCTGAAGGCCAGTGCTGCTCAGGCTGTGATTTCCATGGTGGTCTCAGCAGCAGGTTTCTCTAGCCTCCTTCATCACACAGTTGCTCCTGGCTGAGGATGAGACTGGATTCAGGTCCTTCCTTCCTGCAAAGTGTCTGAGAGCAGAGACCTCTCCTTGTCTGGGATAGAGGTGGAATGACTGGTTTCTTTCTTTTATTTTTGGCCAGTGACAAGTACAATCTGTGCCAGCAGCTGCCCAAGGTGCAAAGGGGGACGCCCGACAGATTGTTGCCACGAGCAGTGTGCAGCAGGCTGCACAGGACCCAAACACTCCGATTGCCTGGTGAGTGGGGGACTTTTTGGAGGCTTCTCCCCCAGCATTGAGATGTGTACTTCATTGAACAGATTGCCACTTTCTGATTGCAGCGAAGTTGACATCTGTTCATTCATACCCACCAGCATTCCTGCAAGGAGCTAAACTTAGCTTGTTCTAGCATATGACTAAACACATCTGGAAAGCACTGGAAGTGGGTTAGATTGGGCTAGGGCAAGACAGGGTAGAGCCAGTGGTGGAGGTTCTAGGCAGAAGATGTTGGAGATATGTTCACTGACTTTTAAGTTCCCACCCTATGAGAAAATATGTTGAGTTCTCTCTTTGTTCTTCAGTTTTGTGGCTGGATTCCTCTATTGCACTAAGTCAAGCCTTGTTGGACAAGCCATAGTGGCCTGGTTTATACATAATGCCACTGTAGTGTGGCATAGTGCCTAAAGTGTTCAACTAGGATTGGAGAAACTTACATTGAAGCCCCCTCAGCCACTGGGGAGGGTGACTGTGGGGCCAGTCCCTCTCAGCCCAGCCTCACAGGGTGCTGTGTGTGCATATTGTCAATAAAGCAGCTGTTGTAAAGATGCAATAATATTTGGATGCTTCCTCTGGCAAGCAAAACTTAACTTGTGTACTGCTACTCTAGAGTACTTGAGCTAATTGGAAACAGGGAACCAATATTAAACACAATTTTTACAGGCTGTACTATTAAAATGGCTCTTGCTGTCTTTACCTGATACAAAGCAATGGCTCCTTTTGAAGCACCATTTTTGTTGCTTTTCCTCCAAGAGATGAACAGGGCAGGCCCTCTCCTATATTGTTCCTTGAATGTTGCCTGCTGTGCTTTTTTTAAAGTGCTGCTGCTTGCTGTTTCTCCAGGCCTGCCTGCACTTCAACCACAGTGGGATATGTGAACTGCACTGTCCACCTTTGATGAACTACAATCCAGATACTTTTGAAATTATGCACAACCCAAATGGACGCTACACTTTTGGAGCAACGTGTGTCCCTCATTGCCCTTGTAAGGCTCTGTTTGTGGATGGCCCTGCTTGGGGCGAGGGGCAGATAATTGGGTTATAGATGCCTCTGATCACTTTCAGCCTTTTAGTGGACTGGTATGTGGGCTTCCCACACTCCTGTTGGACTGCTCGTGCATCCAGACGGTTTCATACACATAATCCAGTTATGCCATCAAGATGTTACAGCCTTACTTTTCCTTGACTTGCTGGATTTCTGTGCAGAGTTTTTAAAAATGGTTTTTCCGTATTTCATAACAGATAACTACTTGGCCGCAGAGGTGGGCTCTTGCACTTTGGTGTGTCCCCAGAACAGTCAAGAAGTGAGCATGGGTACTATGCAAAAATGTGAGAAATGTGACAGTTCTTGCCCAGAAGGTAAGAACTGAAACTGGCTGGAGGGTAAAAGGATTCTGTATTTCCCTGGACACAGCAAAGTTCTAACTATCTTGATTCTCCTTGACGTTCTCTCTCTATCTTGACAGAGCCATGGAAGGAATGTATGGGTTCTGGCTTTACGCTTATCCAACTCCAGTCACCTTGGCTTAGTTGTAAATTGCTCAGTCACCATTTTTGGCATTCACTCTTACTGTATTGGAGTTCGGCCATCCCAGTCATTAGGCTTGGGCCTATTTGCTTATTGCCTGTGGATTGCCTTCCATACTGTTCAGCCTCCGGGAATGGCCAAGTTAGCTGTTCTTCACTGGCTATACAGTCCAGAGGTTCAGGGTTATAGGATGGCCTACACTGTTGGTTTAGTAAGATGTATAGATACATATATGCATCCTTCCTTTGCTTTAGCTAATTCTACACCGCCTTCTCTCTATTTTAGTCTGCTATGGTTTAGGAATGGACTTCCTGAAAGGTGTTCGTGCTGTCAATGCCTCTAACATCCACCATTTTGCTGGCTGCACCAAGATCTTTGGCAGTTTAGCTTTTCTGAAAGAGACCTTTGCAGGGTAGGTAACCAAGTATTAGAGTCAGAAGAATATATCAGTTTTTGTGATACATCTGTGTAGTTGTACTGAGTGATATATCCCAGCTTAATCTTTGGAAGCTTCTGGCAGGTCCAGTAAACTATTGCACAAGAGCTGCAACTAGGCTTTGTTGCTTTTTAAAGTCAGACAACTGTTGTTTCTAGATAAGTTTTTTAAAATCACAAATAACCATACATAGCTTAAATTAGAAGCTTATTTCACAAATCAGCATTTTTAGAACCCCAGCTTTTATTTTTGAATGGTACTAACTCATATGACCAGAAAGAAAAGGCTGAAAACATGCTAATAGCACCACATGCCATCAACTTAAATTCATCACTGAGCAATTTTATTTTCAAAGCCTAAACATTTAAGCTGCATCTTCTTCAAAATTGAAGTCTGCAAGAAGAAGAATGGGGAGTAGGGTGTTGAGGAGGGAAAGAACTGCATTCAGGCTTCGTTCTGAAACAGAACTAATCTGGATTGTGAGACTATTGTGGAACAGGAAAAAAATGGTGCCAGTGGAACTTGTGTGTGAAGAGAGAAAATAATTTGTTGGCCTAAGATAGACGCTTTTATCTATGTTAACAATTTTGATGGGAAGGTTTCTAAACTGAGAAACCTGGGTATTTCTTAGAGTAAACATTCCCAGCAGTAGGAGTGATGTTTGGTGCTGGGTAATCTGAAACATAAGGCTCCCATTTGCCTTATGGGTAATCTGGGTAGGTAATCTGAATACATCCTGGCTCCTGTTTGCCAGCACAAAAGTGAAAAGGCTTAAGGGAGTAGTGTCTATAGCCTAAGAAATGGCAGATGGGATTTGGTTCCAGGCTTGGAGTAATTAACATACTTCTCAATATTGTTAATATTCTTAATATTGTTGACTAGAAAGTGTCACAGTTTTATAGGGAAATCTGAGCATGAACTATGAAAGCCTTGTAATATCCCTTCAGTGATTTGTCCTTGGAAACACATCTCATGATAGCACAATGTATTGTTGCTTTTTAATGGAAAGTGAGTATCCCCTGTGACATCAGAAAAATTAAATCATCTTGGAAGTGGGTTACTTACAGGACTCATATTCAAGCCCCCTTTTTTGCAGTCAGTTGCAATTTAGCAAAACGGCCAACTGGCAGCATAGTTTTCTTAGAGTCTTCTAAAAAGACGACGTATTAATCTCTAATAGGCTTAACACAACAAAACGACTCCCAATATGAGGTGATAAAAAGTATAGTCCTGCTTCCTAAAGTGACAGCATTGTGTCATTCATTCACTCATTTAACTTGTATGGCTGCCCATCTCATAGTGACTCTGAAAGGCATGCAAACACATTTAAAACAATCACAAAGTATGAATCAAAATAGCAGAACAAATTGGCAACCAAAGACACTAACCAACATATCACTGTGGTTCCTAGAAAGGGGCTATCTCATCACACAGACCTGATACCCAAGGGAACAGCCAGATCTTAAGAGCCTTACAGAAGGCCAGTAGGCTTGGAGTCATCTGAATCTTAGGGGGAAGCTGTTTGATGGGGCAGAATACTGTTCTCATTCATGATACCTGCCATGGCCCTCAGCCACCCAAAGCATTCTTTTGAAAGTGAGAACTTTGGGAGCGAAATGTTGGACTTGAGGATGTATATGTTTATATTTCTTCACTTCTATACCTTTACTATGAAATTGTCCTGGAAAAAATAGTCCTGTAATTCTCCTAAATGTGGCATGTGAAAGTGCAATATTTTGGCATCATTTCAACCAATTCTATAAAGGCAGTATTGATCACTAGAGTAACCAGGGATAAGTGGAGGGGACAAGACATCTTAGATGTGTGCATGTGAGTGCTTAGTTTCACCCAAAGCTGTTCCCTCCTTTTCTATTTAGAGATCCTGCCACCAATACCCCACCCCTACAACCTGAACAACTTGAAGTCTTTGTGGACCTGAAAGATTTAACAGGTATGTACAAAGAGATTTCAGGGTAGTTTTGAGGGCCTGGAGGCCTTGTGATAAGGGCAGTGTACTAGTGCTTGTAATAAACCACACTCCTGCTTGGTCCCTGCCTCTGACCAAAGGATTGCTCCTCTGTGATGGGGCTAACATCAATCCCTAGAAAATCAGGAATCACAATTCTCCATTGAATGGACCTCACTTGGTGTTTTCTCAGGCTTCCTATACATTGAATCCTGGCCAGAGACTCTGTTGGACCTGAGTCCTTTCCAAAACCTTCAGGTGATCCGAGGGCGGGCACTTTACAAGTAAGTTCTCTCAAGTGTTTTAGCAGGGACAACATCTCTGTTTAGCTGTCAATGGGAAAATCCATATCTGAGCGATTGGGTTCTTTTTTTGAATGACCAATTACCAGATTGACCCAGACTTAATAGACACAAACTACTGGAAATTTGGACAATTGATTGGGTTTTTGTATCTCCTCTCAGTGGCTGGCGGAAGGAGGAGACTTTTATTTTAAAAAAGGAAAACTTACAAATAAAAGAAAAAGGCATTTAAATTATAAATGCCTACAACTATTGTAGAAATGAATCTTAATAATAAAACTATTTTCTATTTTAACTATTTTCTATAAGCTCTTTATCTACACATTTAATCTCTCAAGCAGTTTCTTCCTTCCACAGCAAAGAAACAGAGAGTCAGGAGGATAGTGTCTCTGCATGGCCACATTATCTCTCTAGCTTAGTGGTGTATATTTAACCAAAGAGGTGGCTATTTTTGTCATTGGTATTTTGCTCATTTTAATTGGGAAATCTATTTCATGTGGCAGTGGAGCCTATTCCCTAACACTGCAAAACCTCAACATCTCCTCGCTGGGCTTGCGTTCACTACAAGAGATCAGTAGTGGCATGGTCCTTATCCACCACAATCCCAACCTTTGCTTCATCCAAAATGTTCCTTGGGGAGACATCTTCAGAAACCCTCGGCAGAAGCTATTCCACAATGACAACAACCCACCTGAGCAGTGTGGTAAGCATGTGTGAAGCCCATTCCCATTAATGTCTTTTCCCCCTCATTCTTTGTAGGTATGGGAATGTCCTTTAAACCAGATGTTCTGATGGACAGCTGAAAGGACTTAAATGGGATCTCATGTGAGATCTTTTTGCAATATTGTGAGCTCAGATAAAGAAGTTGGAAGGTTGCTTAGCATACCTTTGGTTTGGGCAGGTTCTAATAGCATGACCGGCAAGATGAAACAAGGGAAAAGTAAATGGAGATGTTTTGTGCAAGGTCTCATGCAGAGATGAAAAAAGAGTTGTCAGACAATTCAGGTCAAAATATAGCACTAAGCATTTATAATAATCGTTAGACAACAACAAAGTCAAAGTTGGGTCCAGAGTTGAAAGCAAAAGGTTTCAGCATCTGTAGCAAAGTTCAGAGAGAGAGGCTGGAAACATTGTCAAAATTCTGGCAGAGGTGAACTTAGCTGAGTAGTCATAGCAAGGGCTGTTTGCAAGGCACACAGCAGTTAAGGATAAGCTATCTCAGATATTGTTTCAAAGTTGAAATGAACTCAGGAAAAGGCTTTTATTCTAGAAGTTTCTGATTTCTATTCCAGCATAGCTGGTGCTGCTGAGATTAAATCATGGTTGCTAGGCTACTTGGAAACAATAGCCTACTTCTGAGTAGACTACTATTCTTAAAGCTCCCGCACCATCTGGCATTTCTTGGTCACCTGGTACTCAGCTTGGTGGCAGTAGCATTTTCATGGACTTGGTTGGCAGAATCCTTCAGATTCTGAGTCCAAGGTCAGAATAGTGATTCTGTCAGGACCTCAGAGTTGGCCCTGGCTCTTGTGGAACGGTCCCCCCCAGCTCTTTATTCTCATTCAGCTCCTGCTTCTCCTGGGAAGGGCAACTCATCCCAGGGGATATGGCAGGAGAGTTCCGTGGAGCTTCTTATTCTGCTTTAGTGCACATTTCTCTAATCAATGGTAGTACAGAGTGATTACTCAAAAATGTGGTGGAGGAGGAAAATCAAGCATAAGGTTGGTTTACACATGGGTTCATTTATTTATTCAACTAATATCCCACCTTTTGTACAGGGGCAGAAGGTGGCATATATAGTGCTCACTCTTCCTATTTGTCCCCACAAATGCAAACCTCTGAGGTGGATTGGGCTGAGAGAGCGACTGGCCCAAAGTCACCCAGTGAGTGTCCATGGCTGAGGGAGGACTAGAACCTGGGTCTCCCCACTCTTAGCCCAACACTTTAATCATACAGGTAGTCCCTGGGTTAAGAAAACCCGGTATAAGGACTACCCATAGTTAAGAATGGAGCCTATTGTAGGAAAATTTGAGTTAAATGCACAGGGATTCAAATTAAATACACAATGGTTTGAGTTCATTACACAATACTACTTCTACAGTATTATACAATAATACTGTTCCAGCTTACATGCAAATTCATCTTAAGAACAGACCTTGGGAACAGAACTCATTCTTAAACTGGGGACTATCTGTACACCACACTGGCTGTCATAGTTTAGTACTTGATGCAAGAATCAGGGTAATAGTAATCTTTTAACTTCAAGTGCTGAGAAGCTCAGCAGATTGTAGAAAAGACTAGGGAGCAGATTCCTTGTATAGGAGGGAGATTTGTACTATAGTACTGATCTCTGAAGAAGTCTGTGAAGGAATTGCCAATACTTATAAAGAAGGAAACAGTGATTATATGAATGGCCAGGATATCACAAGTTAGGGTTAGGGTTCTTTAGGTATGGATGCTTATTACATTTTATTGGGGTTTTTTTTACCTTTTCCCCCCTCTTTTCCATAACAGTCAATGAATATAATAAAGTATATTTATCTAACAGGTATATGGGATAATGGGACAGTTTTATTCATTAACTTGTTTAAATCTTACCCCTAAAATTCAACGGCCATTTCATTAATTCAAAAGAAGTGAGGATGGTATGAGAGGGAGCAAGGGAGTACGTGGGTGGCCAGGGAGGCTCAGCATGAGCACAGTGGGGCTTGGGGTGGCTTCTGCTGAAGGATGGTGCGAGGGTGGCCGGGAAGGGTGCACAGGTGGCGGGGGAGCCATGGTGTGTGTGGTGGGGCTTGGGGTGGCTGCTGCCGGGTAGGGGAGGGTGTGTGAGTGGTTAGGGAGGATGCACAAGTGGCTGGGGAGGCATGGTATGAGTTCTGTGAGGCTCAGGGAGGGTGCACAAATGTGTGCAAGTGGCCAGGGAGGCATGGCATGAGTGCAGAGAGGCTGGAGGAGGGTGCACGGGTAAGGGAGATTTATCTGAGCAACTTGCAACCTTCCCTGATGGCTTCCCCATTGACTTTGCTTGTCGGAAGTGGAAGGGAAGGTCACAAATTGCAATCATGTCCCCGCAGGACGCTGTAAGTACAGGCTGGTTGCCAAGCATCCAGATCATGATCCCATGAAAACAGGGGTGCTGGGAAGGCCAGAACTTCGAGGACCCGTCGTAACCACCACTCATTTAGCTCCATCATAACTTCAAACAGTCACTGAATGAGTGGTGGTTAACCAAGGACTACCTGTATATATAATAAATGAACAAAAGTGGCTCCCTTTGCTATATCTAGTTTATTTCCTAGCCTTGTATTCAGCTGTTAATTATTTTGACTGGTTTCCCTGAATATTCTGCCCCTTTCAAGGTGATACCCATTGCTGACCTCTAGCCCCCCTGCCTTTACTGATAGCAAGGTTATGTGCTCACAAGCCTTCACTTGTATCTCTTCTCTGTAGATCTCCAAGGCCAGATTTGCTTCTCGCTGTGCTCCCAGGGACATTGCTGGGGACCAGGGAAAAGTCAGTGTGTGTCCTGCAACGGCTTTCTCCGGGGGAAGGAATGCATTGAGAATTGCAGTGTTCTAGAGGGGTATGTGACAGTGGGGAGGTGTGATTGGGTGGGGCTTTTCTGAGTGGGGTCCTGATTAAGAAAATATGCAGGAGGGAAAGAGTTTGGAAAATGCTAAATGGAAGGGGGGGAAAAGTTTCCTCAAGTCTTGTATTTTAATCCTGTTACTGAATGTAACAGGAAGTATAAGCTGTTCAGAGTTGGATACAATTGGAGTAGCATATTAGTGTTAGTAATAAATAAAATCACAATAAAATGTAAGAATGTGTTTGATTTCCCCTATCCCCAAATAAAAAGCAGAGGATAACTTCCTTAAAGTTTCAGTAGGTGGCACTGCATAGCTTACCTTGGATGATCTAGAAAGCTGTGCAGAATTGGCCCTGATTTAGTACTTGGAGATTGACAGGAAAATCCAGGGCTGTAGATTTATTCTGGAAGAAAGCAATAGTAAGCTGTTTCATTGTCATGCTTAGAAAACCTCCTGGATGTGCCATTATGGCTCATCAAGAGTAAAGATTGCTTGAAACCTTAAACAGTATGGACTTTTTGCTGAAAGAAGAAAATATGATTTATGGGTTTGAGAATTAAAAAAGATGTGAGGGGCTGAAGGAATTTGTATAACATCTAAGAGGGAGGGAAGATTCTAAGATTGCAATTACCTGTTGAAGAGAAGGTCAGAAGTCATATTTCATAACATTAGTTTCTTTTCTTTTTTCTTTGCTTGCACCTTTTTCTTTTTCTTTAGATTGTCTTTTACTTCATGTACAATTCTTAATAAACATAAATGAATTAAAAAAGAAGAGTCAAGATTGACTTGATGGCACTTTTACTTTTATCACTGTTGGGATGCTGGATCCTGTGCCATTTACCAAATTCTCAGCTTTCCATGTCTATTGAAGATATATGGAAGTAACATCATTCCTTCTCTTTTTCTAAAATATCCATCACCAGTCAAATAAATAAATATTTTTAAATCACCCAACTCTGATTATGAAGTTGTTTTTATTCTAATTCATTGGATTCTGAATTGAAAAATCAATGGCGTTTGAGAAAACTAGGATGTCAAGAAATCAGACTGTCTAAATTTTGGCTTGGTTTGAATTTGCAGAGATATCCGGGAATATATCAATGGAACACGGTGCTTTTCATGTCATCCAGAGTGCATGCCCCAAAATGGGACTGAATCTTGCTACGGATCGGTAAGAACACTGAAGTATCTTGAATTTCTGATATTATATTATTGTATTTTTTTCCCATTCATTAGCTTTGTGTGTCCTTTTGCCATTGGTTCACAGTGAAAGGAGTGCAACTATCCAGTCCCTCCCTTCTAGGGACCTGCAGTTGGTCTACAGTGTCCAGGGCCATAGCACTTTAAAACAGAAGGCAAACATTCAATTTTACATGAGTAAAACCATCATATGTTATAAGCTAACGAGTGAATTTGATTCAGGCAACTTCATTTTGGGATAATGTTACCCTTGAGATTAATTTGCTTCCTAGTAAGCGTTTGCAGTATTACAGAATCTGAGTTATACAACTATGTCCTTCATATGTAATAAAACGTGTAACCACTGGTATTTTCCTGAGGCAACTTTGCAACATACCCCGTGACTCCAAATTCCTAGATGCCTATCAAAAAGCTGGTTTTTACTGCTCTGTAGGTTATGTCCATCTAAGTCATGTCTGCAACTGGTCAGCTTGTATGATAAAATAACAGGAACGTCATTCAATATTGATAGTATTCAATATCCTGAAATGGGTGAGAGTTTATTTTCTTCTCTGCATGACAGGGAATCTTTCCCACCACCCTTTTTCCCCCTTCAGGAGGCAGACCAGTGTGTAGCTTGTGCTCATTACAAAGATGGACTGTCCTGCGTAGAGCGGTGTCCCAGTGGTGTGAAACTCGATGGCTCTTTCATACCTGTTTGGAAGTACCCCGATGAAGACAACGTCTGTCAGTTCTGCCCAATCAACTGTACCCACTCGTGAGTTTGCAACAAGGTTGAAGTCCAGGGGTGGGAAGATAGTCCATAAGGAGACACAGTAGGATTCTGACTACTTTCTGATGAAAAGTGAGGACAATGTAATGCAAAAACTGTAATCAGCTTTCAATCTAAAGACCCTTCAGTTGCGTACAAGAACAAATTATACTTTAAAGCAGAGTTTTAGAATAAGACTCTTCTCTCATTAATAGGCATTTCCCTCCGTTGCTGTAGTTGCAATTACAGTTAATCTTTTTAAGGGACATTCCCTTGCCTCTTTTGTTCTTTGATTTTGGGTCCGGCTATTCAAGCTTGAGTGGAACAGAAGGAGGGTTTTTGTTGTTGTTTTGTTTTATGAGCCATCTAAGTTTTAGCTTACACAAATGCATAAATTAAGAATAAGATAGGAGAGTCCTGTATTATTTATTGGGTTGCCTCATTTTTGATTTAATGTGGAGGGGTGGGGAGAGGAAATATCTGGACCTTTTTCAGTCTGGATTCAGGCTGGGGTATAGTACCGAGACCACATTGGTCGTGCTTGTGGATGACCTCTGGAGGGCTCAGGATGGGAGTGGTGCAACCATCCTGGCCCTCCTGGATCTCTCTGTGGCTTTCAGTACTATCAACAATGGTATCCTTCTGATGCCATCAGATTAGGTATTCCATTGTATTGGGAGTGGGAGGTACTGTTTTGCAGTGGTTCTCTCCTTTCTCCGTGGCCTATTTCAGTTGGTGTTGGTGGGGGGTGAGAGGCCAAGCCCCAGGCTGCTGCAATATGGGGTTACTCAGGGCTCAGGGCTGTCTCCTTTTTAATATTTATATGAAGCTGCTGGGTGAGGTCATTTGCCACCATGGGGTGCAGTATCATCAGTATGGTGTTGATACCTGTTATACAGTGGGGCAAAAAAGTATTTAGTCAGCCACCAATTGTGCAGGTTCTCCCACTTAAAAAGATGAGAGAGGCCT